ATGTACAATAGTTCTAAGCCCTAGTACCAAAATAATTGACTTTGACATGATTAAAAATAATTAGTAGCATAATGTTGCATTAACATGTTTTTCATCCAATATTTTTTGTACATACTTTTTTTGCTCTTGTGGATAACAGCTTTTTACACTTGAATGTAAAATGATTTGTTTCTAAAACACAATATATTGTCTGCTTGTTAAAAGTCAAGCAAAAAACTTGTCTTAGTGTTTGGTAAAGTTTTGAACATTCAGAACTTTCACAAATAAGTGTATATTTTCGTGCTTTCAGTTAATACAGATTTAGTACTTTGTATTTGAAAAAAAAAAGTTTCATTAAAGTTTTCTGTTAGATGATGTTTGAAAAAAATTACAGGTTTCATCAGAAGTTTTTAAAACAATTAAAAAATGTACAAAAGAGCAATGTAAATACTGAAGTATTGAGCACTAATTCAGAGATCTGCAAAATATTTTAATGTTATTTTCAAACAAAGCATCATTAGTTATTAATGAAATTTATGTTAAAAAAAGAACCAAAACAAAACTAATTAAAATTATTAATATAATAGCCAGAATAAAAACATTCATAACCTTGTGCAAACAACAGAATTCCTATAAAGTATGATAAATCCGACAAGATGAAATAACTGTAATTTTAAACCTGTGTCTCAGTCATGTTAGAATTGGTACGTGTTTCATTGTAAATTTTCACAACATTGGAAAAAGCACCACATATTATAATGTACAATATACTAATATTACAATTTTTAATTCATTATCAAAACATTTTATTAGATTTGTATTTTTATGCTAAAAGCTTTGTTACAGAATCATAGTCGTAATGAAAGATATTTAGACCTCGGACATGCATATATTTTATTATTTCACTTCATTTATGACTTCCATTCTGAAACCTAATTTATTCACAGAACAAAATAATACAAATCTACCACAACTTTCATCTAAGCATGATTAATCTTGAAGAAAGATATAAAACAAGTATTTCTCACCCTAATATGTCTACTGAGATTTATAACCATAAAATATAGATGAATACTCCAGTAAAAATGAGAGGGTAAACATTTTACTTCTGTATCTCAAGTACTCTCTAGGACAAAACTGACACCTTTGATTATAATGGAAACATTCCGCTGAAACATAAAGAACATACTGATACTAAAAATAAAAGATTCAAATAATGAAACGTATCTCCAGGCTATTCTCGGAACACCTTACTCAAACCTAAACAACCTAGTCTATGCAGCAAAATGTTAGAGTAAATAAAAATATAAAAAATCAGTGGATATCAGAAACAAATGTCTACTAATTTCATCTAGAATTTATGGCTTAAGAGAAAATGTTTATAATGCATGGGCAAATTAAATTGATTTATCATTTGTATTAAGTGAAAAAAAAAATAAAAAAAATGTGTCAACATTTGTAGAAACTACAAACAATATTAGGTTAAAGATATCAAAAAAAAAAATCTGAGTGAGTTTTGTGGTTCTAGACACATTTATACACTGTGATAAGAAGTAAGAACATGTATAATACTTGATAGAAAGAATACAACAAAGACCATAAAATAAAAACAGGTTTCACATCTTTTGGCCCAAGTATAAATTATACTACCATTTTATTAGCTAAACCAGACCTATCACATTATATTTCCTATCAAAATTTACGTTTTTTTTTTTAGAAAAATAATTTTATTAAGGAATGGAAACTTTGAGCAAATTTTCTAAAAATACTTTTTTGGAAATTTTCGTTTTCTACGTACCTTATTTCCAAGTAAATACATTTTGAGGTATCATCATTGAATGATACCATCAGCACAAATTATTAAAATAAATGTGATCTGTATAATTAAAGTATGCAACAATTATATGGTTAAATGTGTGTCAAATTTAAACAATAATGGAAAAAAAGTTGTGTGTTTAGCAAATGGAAAATTACCTTCCAACAAATTCTTTATCATATCAATCTCAGTAAAGCAGATAATAGATAAGTCAAAACTAAAAACATTGGTTCAACTTTTTTATTTATAACTAACACATGTAAATTGAAAGCTGGACCAATTTTCTGTAATGTTACTGAAGCATGCTTGTTTAAGTACATAAAACACTTCACAACCTTTGACCTTTTCTACTGAAATCAAATATCCAATTCTGCAGTAAATACTACAAGTAAAAGCAACAAACAAAATACAACATAACCTGTGTTAATGTTCTGAACATTCCCACTATGGTACCTATATAAATACTGCCCTTTTTCATAACTTAATTCAACAAATATACAAGAAAAAACACCTGGTATTTACATATATACACACTTGAACCTCTACAGTTTTAACTTCTGTGCTTTCCTCTTTTGGATGCCTCAAACAACGTTTTAAGCATTAACATAAGCAATAAAACAGTTTTTTTTATTTTAAGCATATATATAAGCTCATAAAACTCTACACACTCTCTGCTAATGGTTATCCTCTTCTGTAAGTTGCAACAGTTTTTATTGTTGCTTAGACTTAGATGACAATGACTTTACTGTGCAACAGTGTGCACCATGAATAGAAGATAGATGAAGAAAATGGTTGTGAATCATTTGGAATGACTGGCTATTTCTGTAATGCAGCTACATAGAGATGTTCAAACTTACATGTGCACTCATGTAAGGCTTTATGAAGTTGTAGGACTACTTTGAAACACCTTTTGTGGTGCTGAATATAAAATGTCAGTTTTTATTCTTACTTCAGTCATCTTCTTAACTTAGCTATCTCCTAATATTGTCTGAACAGTTGGTCCATAACCACTAAAGTAGAACACAGCATTGAGATCTTTTGTCAACCAGGAGTATATTCCAGAAATAAATTATTTTCAAACATCACATAATGACTGGTTATATTAAAGACACACATTGGAGACATCATCTCCATGGCATGCAGCAATAGTTAACAAGATCATGGGGTTTAAAACCCTAACAATTTCTATACTATGACTTCTTTTCCAGATGGCCTTCTTTGATGAGATTTAAGATTGTTGTCTTTCTCCAAGGCTTTTTCTGTAATATTTATGGGAGTGATGTTTTTTTGTGATTCTACAGATTGGGGTTTGTATATTTTTTGAGGAATGTGGGAGGAGTCATTAATGTTGTCTACTTGTGTCATCTCTGTGGAATCGCTCAGATTTGGCGAGCTCAGCTTTTCCTTCAAATCATTACTTGTGTGAAGAGGATTGTGGTATCGTCGCAGATTTTCTTCATTCTGGTTATTAGACTTTTCTTCTTCTTCAATCTGCTCTAATTTACTGCTAATTGAGTGTCGTAACGGCTGACGATGGTGGACCAAGGATCCTTTTCTTCGATAATGATTACGATAATACCAGAGTCCGACCCCAATGAAACAAGCTAGCAGCAGTAAAGCTAAGAGGGACACCAGCACTGGGACCAAGTAGCCAGGTCCTATAATGAAACAGAATAAACCAATACTCTCAGCAACTGAGTGATCTCTGTTTCAACCAAAACTCTATTAACTAATAAGACCTAACCAAAGTTTATGTAGTAATGCAGTACTTCTGGTTAATGTGTTATATTCTGTTTCTAAATTATTATGAACAAAGCACAATTGAAATACTTTTTCATTTAACGTTATATGGAATTCTAATTGAGGTGTGGTTCTTTACATTTCACACTATTTTTCTGGTAAACTGTTCTTTGGGTGTGAAAGAGGAAGACACCAACAGATTAATTCAGTTCTTTTTTAAGCTAATTATTATGTACTCTCTGAGTTGAGTCTATGATCTATTATAATTTTAAAACTTTTTGAAATGTGACTTCTGGTATTCATCTACTTTCTTCTAAGTTCTTTTTTCATATTTCATTGTAACCCAATTAACAATGTGCACTTTAGTGATTATAGAAATAATGATATGAATTTTTCTTATTCATTAATAAATTAATCAGTCATATTAACTTTTTCACTGCCATGGGCACAGGATATTCAACATGTTGATAAAGTTGGAGGGAAAAACTTGATCTGAATTTTCAGTGCTGCCAAAATTTTCTTCTCCCACTCATGTATATATATGTCCTCTTCTTGAGTACTGCTAGAATTGAGAATTTTTTACCACCATGAAGAAAGGGTATTCTATTTCAAACTTCCCAAAGTTTACCTGTTTCAGATAAGTAATGAAATATTAAAATGCGTATCTTATTGTTTTTCTACTGTGTATCTTAAATTAAACAAGGAGAGTTGTTTATCTATAAAGGTAACAATGAAAGAGTTAATAAGTTAATTATTTATAAGCCTTGTTCTCATGCCACTTGTGAGAGTCTCTGGGATCCAAGACATGCAAGATTTGTGTACAGCAATAAGCAATACTAAAGCTATGCATGAGGGTTTGCAACTATGCCTAACTTTCTATCTAATTCTAAAATGTTCTCGTAAAACCTAAGCTATAAAAGCCTAATATCTGATAAGTTTTTCTAGAAATCTTTTAGTCTGGATTAAAAACAATACATAATACCAGGAAAGGATAGCTGGTAATTATCAAGTAAATACAACTACAATTAAAAGTTCTTAGGCACTCAGAAGTCCTTTTTAGTTTGGGTTATTAGAAGAATGAACATTCTGAAGTTTCATATTGTCCCTCATTACTATTGTGTTATTTTAGCAAACAATGGCATGGGGGATTATGAAATTGCACACACCTGTTTAACCCAGGTCACAGATCCCTCAGGTTCAGTTATAGCTATTACAGTTATTATCAACTACTGATAATAAGAAGGGTAGCCAGCAAGTAGAATATGCGACTACAGGGGTTTTTGTCTGGCTCTCTGAACCAAATAATGAGATTAGCTGTTACTTCTGTAATGCAGCCACAGATAAAAGTGCAAAGTATGTTTAGAAACATAACTTCTCAAATCATGGACATTTAGATTCAACTCACAATGCTAACCAATATGCCATGCCTGATCATGTGGGATTACATCAATTACTTAAAATATGTCTACAACAGCACTCAACATAAAGCTATTAAAATAAAATGTTCTATTATGCTGGACATGTAACACTTGTTGAAGAAGCTCCATCTGTCTATAGAAGTTGTGGTTAAACTGTGTTGCATTTAAATGAATTAATATTTAATTCTAATTAAACATTTGAAAGTTGCTGTTGAAACAATCAATCTGCTTGGTAAACAGGAAATTACACAATATTTCAATCCAGATAAACATACATGAAAGTAGATTAAAACACTGTTTAATTACCAATTCACCAAGCAAATTGTGTATTTCAGAAACAACTTTGAACTAATAAGTTCCTGTTTCATAATTATTCTTTAAACAAAGGGATTTTCATGCACCAATTAAAAACTAAGCTTCAGTATAAGAATGTTTATGGGTTTATTACCATGCCAACTAGTTTCAGTGATGAAACAATCCCATAATCACATCAGAAAACAAACAAAACCTATGAATAGCTTACAAAAACAAGAGCAAAATAAATCTTTATTTATTTTTAATATAAAATATCAAAAAATTTAATAATTTCTATATTTTTCTTACCATGAGTGGAAGCAAGAAGAGAGGTCTTTACTTTCACCTCCATCACGGCACTTAAGGATGTACTGTTAGATCGTTTACGGCCTATTCTGTCTGCCAGCCATTTTGCAATGTTACTAACGTATTTGTAGGTTTCAAAGGAAGGATCTCCATTACTAGACTGATGAAAAAAAAAACATTATAAAATACTTAGAATTCATTCAAGATTTACAAAAATAAAAGAAGTTGTATTTACAAAACAAAAGTGATCAAAATACGAGTTCCATATTAATGTAAATGCTCGAGTTATATTTTCATCACTTAAAACATTTTCACCTTTCACTATATATATATATGAAATTATTTTTAAAATCCTATACTTTTAATTAAAGCTTTACTGATTTTGAATTGTTGATGTATTTCTCTATAACAAACAACAGCAAAAAAGTGAGTGACTGATTCTACAGAAAATAATGAAAGTATCTTCACATCGCACACTGAATCGAATTTTAAGAATATTAAACTAAGGAACATTTGCAAAATTAAGTTTGCTAGATTACTTTTATATTAAAAAAGTATTTTTTTTCCCTTCTGATTTTGTGTACACACCAGAATCTACTCACAAAACAGTAACTGAACGTTTTTACTTTCCAAATGTTGAATTTTTGCTTTCTAATTCACATCTCTGCCTATTGTTGTAAAATGTTCCTTACCACTGCCACTTCTATGCTATCTGGCACACCTTCTACTTGATCACAAAGAAGAAAAACTGTATGGACTGGTGTATGGTTCAGCTGCTTGGGTAACCTTCGTATCTGTGTACACAAACTTTCAACTGTCAGTCCCTGAAATAAAAAAATATGTGCAATCAGTCCCAAGTGAATCATGAACACATTAATGTAAGTTCCAGACTGATACAAATTTGTGAAAGAAAATAATACACTTTAAAGATGTATTCCACATGTAAACAGTTTTTTAAAAATAGGAATGAGAAGAAACTACTGCTTATAAAGAATAAAAATTTTTGTTATTATCTTGGGTTTTCACATTATTCAACAATACAGAAATGTCTTTTATTATTTATGATAATAATATGTCACAAAAACATAAATTCTTACCTTGTGCTATGTTTACAGCACTGGCCCAAAAATTTAAGTTCTACACATACACAGATATATATATATATATATATATATATATATATATATAATATATACGACGTAGGAAGATATACTATACTACTACTACAACAATATATATATATGT